GTGAGCCTCATGACAATTAAGGCAAGAGGGAGGTCGATTGCAAGATGTACAGTGGACCCCCGGTTCGCGATGCTATCGGTATCCGATAAATCCGGTAACCAATGCATTATATCGCAGAAAATTTGCCTCGCTTCCCGATACAAAACCCGGTATGCGATGTGGTTCATACAAGACGTGTCCATGTGTGGCCTGAACTGCCCCGTGTGTGCCAGTGTTTACAAGCCAGCCAGTGTGCGCGCATCTAAGGATACATTCTGTACATTCCATATTATCACTGTTTTTGGTGCCTGTTTTTGCAAAATAAGTCACCATGGGCCCCAAGAAAGCTCCCAGTGCCAACCCTTCGAGACCAAGGGTGCTAATGACTGTTGAAATGAAGAAAGAGATAATTGCAAAGTACAAAAGTGGAGTGCGTGTGTCGGAGCTGGTCAGGTTGTATAGTAAACCCCAATCAACCATCTCTACTATAGTGAGCAAGAAAATGGCAATCAAGGAAGCTGTTCTTGCAAAAGGTGCAACTGTGATTATGAAACAGCGACCGCAAGTGTTAGAAAATGTTGAGAGACTGTTATTGGTGTGAATAAATGAAAAACAGATAGCAGGAGATAGCATCTCTCAAGCAATCATTTGTGTAAAGGCTAGGCAGTTGCATGACAATTTGGTAAAAAAATTGCCTGCAACTAGTGATGATGTGAGTGAATTTAAGGCCAGCAAAGGTTGGTTTGAAAGATTTAAGAATCGTAGTGGTATACATAGTGTGATTAGGCATGGTGAGGCTGCCAGTTCAGACCACAAAGCGGCTGAAAAATATGTGCATGAATTCAAGGAGTGCATAGAGGCTGAAGGATTGAAACCTGAACAAGTGTTTAATTGTGACGAAACAGGCCTGTTTTGGAAGAAATTACCAAGCAGGACCTACATTACTCAGGAGGAAAAGGCACTCCCAGGACATAAGCCTATGAAAGACAGGCTTACTCTGTTGATGTGTTCCAATGCTTGTGGTGATTGCAAAGTGAAGCCTTTATTGGTGTATCACTCAGAAACTCCCAGAGCGTTCAGGCAAAAGAATGTCCTCAAGGCTAATTTGTGTGTGCTGTGGAGGGCAAACAGTAAGGCATGGGTCACTAGGGACTTTTTCTATGACTGGTTGCACCATGCATTTGCCCCCAGTGTGAAAAATTACCTAATTGAAAAGGAATTAGACCTTAAGTGCCTCCTGGTATTAGACAATGCCCCTGGTCATCCTACAGACTTGTCAGAGCAACTTTGTGGGGACATGAGTTTCATTAAGGTCAAGTTTTTGCCTCCTAATACCACTCCTCTCCTGCAGCCCATGGACCAGCAGGTCATTTCCAACTTCAAAAAACTGTACACAAAAGCTATGTTTGAAAGGTGCTTTGAAGTGACCACAGAAACTCAATTGACTCTAAAGGAGTTTTGGAAGGATCACTTTACTATCCTCAATTGTGTAAAACTTATAGGTAAGGCTTGGGAGGGAGTGACTAAGAGGACCTTGAACTCTGCCTGGAAAAGACTGTGGCCAGAATGTGTAGACAAAAGGGATTTCGAAGGGTTTGAGGCTAACCCTGAGAAGCCTATGCCAGTTGAGGAATCCACTGTGGCATTGGGGAAGTCCTTGGGGTTGGAGGTTAGTAGGGAGGATGTGGAAGAGTTGGTGGAGGAGGACAATGAAGAACTAACCACTGATGAGCTGCTAGATCAACTTCAACAGCAAGAGGCCACACCTGAGGAAATTGCTTCGGAGGAGGGGAGAGAGAAATTGAAGAAGTTGCCTACTTCAAAGATTAAGGAAATCTGTGCAAAGTGGCTTGAAGTGCAAGCCTTCATGGATGAAAATCACCCTCAGACAGCTATTGCAAGCCGTGCTGGTGACTTACACTGACAATGTTGTGAACCACTTTAGGAAAGTCATAAAGGAACGAGAGGCACAGGCCTCTATGGACAGATATGTTGTGCGACAGAGGTCCAGTGACTCTCAACCTGGTCCTAGTGGCATTAAAAGAAGAAGGGAAGTAACCCCGGAAAAGGACTTGCTACCTCAAGTCCTAATGGAGGGGGATTCCCCTTCTAAATGCTAACACCATCCACACACTCCCCTCCTCCCATCCCATCAATCATCACCAGATCTTCATTAAAGGTAAGTGTCAATTATTCTTTCGTTATTTATTGTTATTTATTGTTATTGTTGTTATTGTAATTACTATTCTATTGCATTAAACTTAATATTTCATGTGGTAAAAGTTTTTTTTTCATACTTTTGGGTGTCTTGCATGGATTAATTTGATTTCCATTATTTCTTATGGGGAAAATTGATTCGCTTTCCGATATTTTTGATTTACGATGAGCTCTCAGGAAAGGATTAGTATCGCGAACCGGGGGTCCACTGTATTAGAATGGTCATCGGCACCACAGACTGGGCATTCGGCGATAGATCTGCAATATTTTGCTGGGTGGCCAAATCGCCAGCAATTCCTACACTGTTGTGGTGTAGGGATCACCTTCCAAACTTGTAACCGATGTCCTGCTACATAAAGAGAGGATGGGAGTTCACGGCTGTCAAAAGTTAAACGAGCCACATTGCAAGGGTATCGTCTTTGCCCGCGGGCGGGAAGAACATAAGTGTCTACCTTGAGAATTGGGAGATCTTGGAGTTCCAGCGGTTCGAGAACGTCATTGCCACAAGTCTGGAAATTCTGCTGGACTAAGGTATTGGGCAGAATAACAGTACCACTACAAGAATTGAGGGAATGATGTTTTTCGATAGTGATAGGAAAAGTATCGATATGTGAAAGAAGAGAAAGATCATGAGCTTGGGTAGAATTCTGGACTGTGATGATGCGCGTACCACTCTTAAGAGCATGAAAGGAAATATCTCTACCAACATGGCATAGGAGTGCTTTGCCAATACTATGGTCAGAAAGATAGGTAGTAGAAGTCGGTCGTAAAGTAAAGAATTTAGTCCATTGTGTGGTCCGAAACTGAATGTGGAGAGGGAGTGCATGACGTGTCGGTCTTTTCCGAGTAGAATGGGAAGGTAACAAAGTAACATCGTCTGGAGATTGTCGTTGGCGTTTAGAAGTGGGACCAGAGTCGGTCCGACGTGAGACAGGCTGGCGATTCAAAAATCGTCGCACCATAGAGGGAGAGGCCGGAAGCATAGTCAAAGGAGATCGGAGGTCAGACAAATCGAAGGAGTCAGTGGAAGCCCCGGTACCTGAAGCGGTTGAGGAAACAGCACCAGCAAGAGGTACAGGGGCCTTAGGAGTGTCCAAAGAGTGGTCAAAAGATGAGGCAAGGTCAGAACAGGGTGCGGTAACAATAAGGGGCCCGGGGGTAGCGGGGTCATCGATTTGGGACTCCATGGTTAGGTTACTTCTTTCTTTTTGTTTTTAAGAAAAAATAAAAAAATAAAAAAAAAGAATAAAAAAAAGGGGGGACCGGGGAGGGATGGTTCCTAGGAGGAATGAAAGGGCCAGAAATCTCCCTCCGCGCCCAAGAGGACCTCAGCACCGCAAGTAGCGCAGATGCAGCATGGAACCCGTGCCATACCCTACCCTTCATGCTAGTAAACCAGCAATCCGGGATAGCAACCTCACATCTGCCGAGCTACCTCGGTGGACAAGAGAGGGCGGCCGGATATCCGCCACAAAGCATACCTCCTTCGGCCACCACCGCCGGAATCCAAAAGGTGGCTTCCAGAGATACACCCATCCCCCGAGAGACACCCAAAGCCACCCTCCGGGATACTGGAGAGGGATTGGGACATCCCCAGGTGATCCAGATCCCAAGGCAAACTATGCCACCGCCAAGAACCTCAACGGAATGGGATGGACCCCGGTACCCTTCCCCCTACCTATGAACTAGTGTGCCTGTGGGAAAAATCCCAAAGGCCAAAAAGAGGAAGGGCAAAAGGGAGGGGTGGGGAGGAGGAGGAGGAGGAGGAGGAGGAGGAGGAGGAGGAGGAGGAAAGGAAAAAGGGGAGGATGGGATAGGGAAGGGGGGATTGGGGGGTAATTAGGTTCGGTCTGAGGAAGGAGACCGACAGGTCTAATTCCTCAGACCAAGAGCAGTAACTCTCAGTTCACTATGGCGTGTGGAGGTATGAGCTCACAACACTATAAAATACTATTGTATAATTATACTATTACTATCAATAAAGGTTATCTATCATATTTATTCCAGAAATATATCAGGTATAACATAAATAACGTAGAAGTACGTATAATAAAGATGCTCAAATTAATAAAAACTAACATTATATAGAGGTATTGAAGGGTGGGTACCAGGTGCCCATCCTTCAATATCTATTTTTTGTGTGAATAAAAATTCCAAATGGTAATAAATAACAATAATACGTAGAATAATAATAGTACATATAATAATATTACGTATGGTAAAATAATAATACATATTACGTATAATAATAATACATTTATAATAATAATGTATACTATAATTATTATAATAATGGACAGCTTCGAAAGGCCATCACTAGATGGCAGTGAATATCACAACAATGCAGGAGCGGTTATGGCCACCTCCACTTGTCACACAATGACATATTTTATTCTAGAGTATATATCAGGTTTCTATATTATTTATATTGTTTATTATGTCATATTAGATGAACTGTGATAGATAAATAAGCCGTAGAGTTGATATCAAGGAAATTATTGAAGTACAGAATTCCACTGGAATGGATTAATTCCATTTCAATTAATTGAAATGAGGAAAACTGACTCTGCAAATGAGCAAATCCAGATGCGAGCAAGGTCACGGAATGGATTAAACTCGCAAGTAGAGGTTCTACTGTACTCAGCAGAGGTATACAGTAATTGTTTTACACTGGCAAGATTGCTGGTCTCTTGTTTTTGTCCTAAACCCATTAAGATTATAGGTAAATTTGGCTACTATTGTATTTCAACTTCAATTACTGTAATATATTATCCATGTAAAGGTATGTAAGAAAGACACAAATGTGGTATTAAGACATTTATTAAGATGACTCATCCACCAGGGGCTTTGTCAATTCAATACAGAGAACCAAAGTTTATGCAGTACAGTATATATATATACGTATTGGGTCAAGGTCAAGTGCTGCCTGTGGAGAAGAGTCAAAGTACAGGCTGTGTCCAGTTTGAGCAAGACAGTCTAGCGAAAAATTCTGGAATCATAAAATTTCCAAGTGGGAAGAAGGGGTGTGACAACTGTACACGTGGGAGAGAGACCTCTAGAAGCCTCAAACAATGCATCAGGGAGCACAAGCATACTTGATCTAAGGATTAGAGTTCCTCTCTTTCCTTGGATTGAATATCAATGCCCCCATTCCCCAAAGCACTGTACTACCCCTATGGGTTTGGCACTTCTACGAAATAAATACAACATCTGGGAATTACAGGTAGAGCTGGTGTGTTAAATGTAACTTTCCTTATTTTCTGCTATAACTGATGTTTGTTGCCTCAGTATATTTCACCCCTTTGATCCTTGGCTTGTTCATTCCATGAACATGGCTTTTCAGTGCAAGCCATCACAAATTTCTCTCATAAAGCAACTTAAACTGCAAACAGTGGCACCCTGATGTATGAACACAGACCTAGCATTCACATGTTTATATTTATATTTTAAACAGATTAACAATTTGCTTGAAATGCTGGCAAATACTTTGGGCTTTTCAATGCTTTATACTGTACAGTACTTTATTTTTGTATGTTTTGAAAAGAAAAATGTATTTTGATTACCAACACAAAGTTATTCCATGTCAAGTAATCCCAAAGTCCAAACCTGAAGTTTTCTGCAAATGAATAAGAGTAATACATTTTACGGTACCATTGGAAAATTGGGAATCTTTTAGTTTTTGAATTTGTTGACAGACTGAAAAAGAAATTATATGAAAAATTTATACATTCTGTAAAACATAGTTTGTTTAATTCTGTATGTCCACATTAGCATATATTAATTGTAAACTAATAAATGACATCACTATACTAGTTTTCATGGTTTCATAAAGATAGGCACTGATCTTTCTTTTAAAACCCATTTCAATTCATAAGCTCTACTTAAAGTATTAATGTGCACTTGTTAAGTGTCAGTTTCAAAAATAACCAACTTTATATCACATTTCTCCATATTTTTTTTTTACCTAGACACATTACCATAAATTTATATTGCATTAATGTAGTAAATGCATTTAAAACAAGTCTTATCCTTTTTCTGTATATCCTAAGGTTACTACATAATTTACAGACCACTGATTATTGCCGTTATCTATATCCAGTAAAAAAATATGCACACGGTCAAGATCTATGTCACAAATGACCTTGCTGCACTGTGGCATATGTCTTGACTGCATTACACTAGTACCTATGCTCAATGCCTTTATGTAAAGATAATGAGTGATACTACATGCACATATATCCAAATATATCAAATATGTAGCTGTTAATATGGCTACTGGAACATCATACAATTAGTAGCAATCAAATAAAAGTACAAACAAGTGATGCCATGGACTCTCAACTCTCAGTTCTTCCAATTGACTCAGTTAAGATAACAATGTGGCAGGTTCATCTTTGACAACACACCTTGAAATAACAAAACAAAGAAAAATATAAGGCAACAAATACAAGGAACAACAACAAACAAGATAAAAAAAAACTAACTTTGTAACAGTGCAAAAGTGTTACCAAGGAACCATAAAGGCTATGAAATGGAATATGAGAAAAAATTATTCAGGAATTTTTTAAAAACGGTGTAATGCTGATCAGGATACAAACTCACTTGATAAAGTCCTACACATCCTTCCATAGCTAATACAAGAGTGATCATTGTTTAGGCTCTACTGGAAGGATGAATATGCTTAAAAAATAGACTAAAATAATCAGCAAGTATAAAAATTTGTAAGTACGTAATGCTGAGAATAAGTGTTAAGTGCAAAAAAATAAAACAATCAGTTAAACTGAAACAATAATAGTGGAACCTCGGTATTCAAATTTAATTCATCCCAGAAGGCTGTTTGAGTGCCGATCTGTTCGAGTATAGAACTAATTTTTCCCAACCCATTTTCGTTTTGGTTGGCTGATATCGTTAATCTTCATAGGCCCCATGATGACTTATACAAATATAAAAAAAAAAATGTAAGGAAACATGAAATAGTTTATAGCGAAGTTCTGGCAGGTCATGTTTGTTTGGTCGAGTGCTGAGCTTTGTTTAAGTAGGGAGTTGTTCGAGTACCAAGGTTCCACTGTATTAAGTAATACAGGAATATTATGAAAATAATAAATGTTAAGTGTGAAAATGTTACACTGAAGTGGTAATATTAGTTATATAGGTATAAATAGTGATGATAATTAAACAACTTGAACATTGAATTATGTGATAATATGCAACAAGATGCTATGAGGAGTCATTTGAAATATGGAAGACAATTCACAAAGTAAGCAAACGTCTTTCAACTTAACATTTGAAACTCAGTATACAGTACAGTATTTCTAGCTTACACGGGAAGACTATGCCACAAAATTGCTCCCTATGGCACAGTATTTAACATTAACCCTTAAACTGTTGGTTAGTGGTTACTGAGAATAGCATCAGTGCTGTAGGCCTACTAAGCCCTCAAATTTGGCATGAGAATGAATCTGTGTGGAGAGTGCAAAGCATTTAAAAAAAAAAAAAAAAAAGGCAAATGCAGGGCATGACAAGAATAGTCAATCTTTGACCCCCATGTTTGGGTTAGAATAGATTTTGGGGCATTTTTTAGGGTGATTTCATGGTTATAGTAGCTGTTTCTTGGTGCCCCTAGACTGAAAAAACATACTAATGAAATGGTGAAAATTTTGGTTAGCTGAAGATAGGAAGTGGCCAGAAATAGGCCTCAAATGGCAAGAAATGGTCAATTTAAAAATTTTTTCCTAAAGATGGGTAGGAGTTTTCCTACCCCTCACTCCAGCCCATTTTATGGACTTTTCCTAGGTCTTCTTCAAGAATTGGAATGGCCCTATATCATGACCAAGTTTATTACCAAGAAACTGGTAAAAAGAAGTGTGTGTGAGACGATGGATTTAAAATGGAGGGCAAGTGTTATAAAGAACAGGCCTAGAGAAGTAACTAATGAACAATGTTAGGGAGTTTTAGTGTCAGGAATAACTAGTTTATGTTTTGGATTCCATTTTTAAAATGGAATTTGTTAAAAACGGTGTAAAATTTACCAAATTACCTAACCCTGGGCACTTTGCAGGATAATTCTGATGGTTGCATGGGCAGTTTCTTGCAACCAATGGATATTACAGAAGGCATACTAGTGAAACAATCAGAAAATGGGTCAGTTTGAGCACTGGAATTGATTAAAATAGTTTTAAAGTGGATGAAATTGTGCAAAATGCTCCCCAATCTCCAACTTTGCAAATGCATAATTCTCGAAGAATTACATAAAAACTTGCATTTTTAGTGTTATTGCCATTAGAAAAAGATTCTCTACCATTTAGAAATTTTTTTTATTTAGTTTTAAAAAAAAATACCAACACAGAAGGGGCTTTCATTTTGGGGGCTGCTGACAGTTGAAGGGTTAAATAATTAGAGTAGCTATACAGGTTACAGACTAACTATAACAATAACTTTTACCTTCCCATCATATATAACAGTTTTCAAATATTTTTCCACAATTCACATAAATTAATGTATAGTAAATGTATAAGCAAGTGAGAATATGCCATTCAAGTGACTGGCTTAGTTACATCAAAGTATTTCTAAAAATCTTCATAAAATACTGAATATTTTTCAATATTTTTTAATGTAGTTGTGAAAAATATTATATATCTTCAAAAAGTATTCCTTCAAAAGGCTTAACAAAATCATGTTCATATATATATATATATTATATATATTATATATATATATATATATATATATATATATATATATATATATATATATATATTATATAATATATATAATATATATATATATATAATATATATAATATATATTATTTATATATATTATATATTATATATATATATATATATATATATATATATAATATATATATTATATATATATATATATATATATATGTCGTGCCGAATATGTAAAACTGGTCAATTAGCAAGAACTCATTTAAAATTAAGTCCTTTCTAAAATTTTCTCTTATACGTTTAAAGATATATTTTTTTCATTAACCCTTTGAGGGTTTTCGTCGTACTAGTACGTCTTACGCATAGGGGTTTTTGACGTACTAGTACTCATAAATTCTAGCGACCTCAAATCTAGTGGGAGAAAGCTGGTAGGCCTTCATATGAAAGAATGGGTCTATGTGGTCAGTGTGCACAGTCTAAGAAAAATCCTGCAGCACACGGTGCATAATGAGAAAAAAAAAACTTTTTCCATTTTTTTTTAATAAATCAGCGACTTTGCAGTGTATTTTCGTATAGTATTTATTGTTGTATTCTAGTTTTCTTGGTCTCATTTTATAGAATGGAAGACATATTACTGAAATTGAGATGATTTTGACTGGTTTTACAATGAAAGGTGCCTTGAAATTGAGCTCAAAGTAGCAGAAATGTTCGATTTTTACCAAACTTCAAAAGTAAACAAATCGTGCCAAGCGTGCAATACACGTCAACTGGTGAGTCTAATATTCTTTCACAAGTGCACCAATAATATTTATACCATTTTTTACACTAATGCAGTAGTCTGCATAACAGTAAATCTTATATTTTTTGTGAGAATAAAAATTCAAAGTGGAAAGCAAAAGAGTATAAGAGGGGCCTTGAGACGTGACTAATGACTAGAGGAAATGTCATTTTAGTGCCAGGAATGTCTTTCTTGTTTATTCTGGACCCTATTCCGAAATTGGCATCTTTTGAAATTTGTGTGAAATTGGCAAAATTGCTAAATTCTGACCACTGTACTGGATAGTTGAATTTATAAATGGGTGGTTTCTTGCACCCATTCGATAGAAAAAATGGAGTTCTAGCGAAATATTCATGTTTTTTGTCGACTAGTACAGTGAAATTGGCCGAAAATGGGGCTCAAAGTGGGCAAAATCGCCGATCCGTAAACATCGCCGAGACCGCTAACTTTGCGAGAGCATAATTCCGTAAGTTTTCTATCAAATTTCAAACTTTTGGTGTCGTTATGATCGGGAAAAGATTCTCTGTCTTTTCATAAGAGAAAATAATTTTTTTTTTTTTTAAATTTGGCCGACCCTGAGAACGAGTTTCGGAGAGGGCCTGTCGACCCTCAAAGGGTTAATGTTAATGTAAAAATTTTTAATTTTGCTCCAAAAGAATCTTAGAAAACTTACCCAACCTTATTATAACAAGAACAATTTATTTTAGCCTAACCCAACTAAATATATTTTAGATTTGTTTACAGTAATTTAATACTAAACAAACAAAATGAAATATACTTTTTTCGTTAGGTTCAGAATGATTTTGGCGAAATTATTGCATACACAAATTTTCGCTTGTCCTATATGGCAAGATGAGCGTTGCTATTTAAGCCAAGATTGCAAGTTCTGCCTATTCGGCACGATATATATATATATATATATATATATATATATATATAATATATATATATATATATATATATATATATATATAAATACATATATATATATTATATATATATACATATATATATATTATATATATATTATATATATATTATATATATTAGTTCTCTTTTACAGAGTGATTTTTGAAAGTATGACTGAAAAATTTAATTTATAAAAATTTACACTAGGTTAGCTTTATAAGAAAGCTTACTGTAAGCTTCAAATAGTCTAGTTAAGACTTCTAATAACTTACACATCAGAAGTGAGTGTGGTGAAATGACCCTAATAGCCAATTTAATTTTTTAATATAAGTAAAATTTTATACCTGGAGTATACCTGGAGAGTTTCGGGGGTCAACGCCCCAGTGGCCCAGTCTGTGACCAGGCCTCATGGTGGATCAGGGCCTATCAACCAGGCTGTTACTGTTGGCCACACACAACCCGATGTACAAACCACAGCCCAGCTGGTCAGGTACTGACTTAAGGTGCCTGTCCAGTGCCTGCTTGAAGACAGCCAGGGATCTATTGGTAATCCCTCTTATGTATGCTGGGAGGCAGTTGAACAGTCTTGGGCCCCTGGTACATATTGTGTTGTCTCTTAACATGCTAGTGGCACCTCTGCTTTTCATTGGAGGGATGTTGCATCATCTGCAGAGTATTTGGCTTTCATAGGGAGTGATTTTCGTGTGCAAGTTTGTTACTAATCTGAATATAAATTCAAGGGTATTAAGATATTGAAAATAATACGCATACAATAAAAAATAAATACATATATGAATGTATTCTTTACCCTAGCAACAATGCCATTGTTTTACTGGATTGTATGTACATGCCATACCATGGCATCATTCACCCAGCCAGCTTCAAAATTTTTAAATCTCTGCTTTTATAGACCTTTAATTTTCTCTCCTGCATATACTGACAGGCTTTTCACCAGGAAGGCATTTCTATTTTAATCAGGATGATGTGTTAAACCCACAAGGGTCATGTTCATAGATCAAGTGTCCCTCACCAGTGTGGCACCTCTCTTGAGGGAACCAGGTAGACATGTTCCATGCAACTTCCAAGGGTGTAAATAAATCCAAGGCTCTGTGTACAGATAACACACCTTTGATGGGTTTTGAGAGTTTTCCTATTCCCTCAGCCCAACCATGGGCCAGGCTTGTCTGATGGCTGCTTGGTGAACCAAGCTCTTGCTGGTGGTGGCCCACTGCCCCACACATTCATCACAGCCTGGTTGATCCAGCATTTCATGAAGGCATTTGTCAAGTATCCTCTTGAAGACTTCTACACTTGCACCTAAAACTGCCACCTTCTGCATGTGTGTCACAAATTCTTGTTCTGTCAGATGCCTTGTGTGATCAGCAGCCACAATGCAACTTTGTGACATGTCTGTCTCATAATTCTTAGTTTCATCACAGTGATGGCTAGTAAATGAAAATGGCATGTCTGACCGTCAACATGGCTGATACAGCTGATCAAGTCAAGTGACTGCAAACTCTATGCAGTACACAAACTCCCACAACCATCTAATGAATTTTATAGATACCAAATTAGTCATCTGAGAAACTGACCAACACAACAGATGCTGCTTAGAATCTGCTTTCAGCAGTTACCAATACCATCACACAGAACTCTGGTAATTTTATAATTTGAGTAGCTCTTGCCAGATTCTTCCAGCCCAAACCTGACATGGCCATCACTTATCTCCATCCCCACATGCAGCACCTAGCCTTGACCCACTATATATACTGTACTCCAAAAACTTCTGTTCTCTTTGAGTGATGGGCAAAACATCTCAATACAAGTTCCGATTTTGTGCCATGTATGTGTTCTGTTTACATATATGTCAGTGTTAGTCACCATTTACAGTGCAACCATATTACATGTAAAACATCAGTGAAATATCCAATGACATATTAGATTATTACTATCAATGTATTATCATGTATTTACCATTTAATTCTTGATACAATACTGCCATGTTATTTTTGTATTTAACCCTCCGAGGGTTTCGGCCATACTAGTACGGCTTACGACCCAGGGTTTTTGACGTACTAGTATGCCTAAATTCTAGCGCCCTCAAGTCCAGTGGGAGAAAGCTGGTAGGCCTACATATGAAAGAATGGGTATATGTGGACAGTGTGCACAGTATAAAAAAAATCCTGCAGCACACAGTGCATAATGAGAAAAAAAAAAACTGACCGTTTTTTTGGAATAAAACAGCGACTTTGCACTGTATTTTCGTATGGTATTTATTGTTGTATTCTAGTTTTCTTGGTCTCATTTTATAGAATGGAAGACATATTACAGAAATGGAGATGATTTTGACTGGTTTTACAATGAAAAGTACCTTGAAATTGAGCTCAAAGTAGCAGAAATGTTTGATTTTTACCAAAGTTCAAAAGTAAACAAATCATGCCAAGCGTCCAATACACGTCAACTGGTGAGTCTAATATTCTTTCGCAAGTGCACCAATATTATTTATACCATTTTTTACACTAATGCAGTAGTCTGCATAACAGTAAATCTTCTATTTTTTTGTGAGAATAAAAATTCAAAGTGGAAAACAAAAGAATGTAAGAGGGGCCTTGAGACGTGACTAATGAACAGAGGAAATGTCATTTTAGTGCCAGGAATGTCTTTCTTGTTTATTCTGGACCCTATTCAGAAATTGACATCTTTTGAAATTTGTGTGAAATTGGCAAAATTGCTAAATTCTGACCACTGTACTGGATAGTTGAAATTGGTAAATGGGTGGTTTCTTGCACTCATTCGATAGAAAAAATGGAGTTCTAGCGAAATATTCATGTTTTTTGTCGACTAGTACAGTGGAATTGGCCGAAAATGGGGCTCAAAGTGGGCAAAATCGCCGATGCGTAAACATTGCCGAGACCGCTAACTTCGCGAGAGCATAATTCCGTAAGTTTTCCATCAAATTTCATACTTTTGCTGTCATTATGATCGGGAAAAGATTCTCTCTTTTCATAAGAAAAAATTATTTTTTTTTTTAAATTTGGCCGACCCTGAGAACGAGTCTCGGAGAGGGCCTGTCGACCCTCAAAGGGTTAAATATAGTAGTTACCAGTGAACTGCTCCAGCCATGGTATTGTGACTTAATTCTTCAGTACTGTAGCTACCACTACATGTTTTTGTCAGTTTATTGTGATAAAGCAGCAATACATGATAACACAATGATATTTAAAAATTAAGTATCTACTGTAGTGAGAAAGGAAATAACTGCTGACAACTTGAGGGAAATGGGCTGAGGACACCTTTAAAGGTGTTGAAAGTGATTGTATTCATGTCCATTTCCCTCATATTCATAAAGTAGTGCATAAATTAATGTATTTATATTATTGGCAAACTCAATATATTCTACAGAGCCACTGAGCCTGCTGCCAGGAAATGTGCCAGCATTGGTGATTTGAACTGTTGAGAGACTTGGCTTGGCACCTACCATAAGACAAACCAAACTAGAAATTTCTACATAACACATATGCCTCTAACCATAACACTTTCAAGCCTAATACAGCTTTTGCATTGCATGTTGGGATCTACAAAATTTCCTTTTATTGATGCTCTTCCCACGTTAGCTACCTGTGATATATCCTTGAACCCCAGCCTGTGGCCAGGCTTTCCTGTTGATGGCTTGTTCAACAAGTTTGTTTCTCTTGGCAGGAAATAAGCCCACAAAGCCACCACAGCACAGTTTGTTTTTAAAATTACTACATTTGTTCTGGCAATATTTCCGATATCTGCTGGTAGCATTAATACACAGTCTTGGATGATGGATGCTGTTACCGAATTCTTTGTGTCCACAGCACCTCACCTTTCACTTGATCTAGGCCATGATGTACAATTAAAGACTATGCACATATCCTTCCCCTTGAAGTGGGTATCATAAAAATGTACTTCGACAGCTGTATATTCTGTTTACAAGGTTTGCTCACAAACTTCAGTAACAAGCATTACATTCACACACAAAAATACAAACTGCATGGGCCATTCAGGACTTCAAGTTTAAGAGACTTGTGCGACTTAAGGTAACTTCATTAAGGATATATTTCACCCACCAGAAGCTTAATCAATAAAACCCTAATGGGTGAAACATTTTCTTAAGTTGTGTAATATTGCACAAGCATTTTACACATTTGTCAGTTTTATATACCTTATTTGAAAGTGCTGGTGCTACTATATGCAGCAATGATGGAACTCTTGATGGCTATTGTGTATATTTATGGAGAAACATTAAACTTGTACAGGTCACATGGCAGGAAGTGTTGAGGAGTGTCTGTGACAGTGGTTTAAAAAGACATGAGCAAACAATAGGACATATTACAAATAGTATTTCGGTCCTGGGACCTTAATCACTTCTAATATAAAAGGGTAAAGAATGACAGCACATGTAGGCATAAAAGCAAGTTCCAAGAGGTAGGTGATGTGATGAAAGAACGTGCGAGGTTCCTTGAAATGGTGTCAGGTTGTCCAAAAGGTCTCCTGATTCCTGTCTTGTTAAACCACTTGTTAGTATTAATTACCAGAGTTTATATGTTACTGATGATATCTGTTGTGGTGTTAAGTGCCTCAGTGAGTGTCAATGTATAAAACTTTACATCTGAAAAATGGATTAAGGTTTTTAATTGATATGCATTACCTTGTAACAGAGAAGATAAATTTTTAATACAATTAAAAAACTGTGATACTATTTTATTAGTATATAACATTAGGTTTTCTAATATCTGAAATGACTGGCTATTAAAATCGACTGCCAAAAAATATTACCATTGTGATGCCAGCCTCGAAGAGTTACTGAACTTTAAGAGAAACTTAACTTACATGCGATTGTCTTTCTGAGGCATCATTCTTCACCTCATAATCTTTACGGTCTCTATCCTTTATTAGGCACAGTGCCCATCTTGAAGAGCTTGCAATTACCACAACTATTGCATGCGAGGAAGCTCTCCCAGGCCAACACACTGTACCTCACGGCTATACCTTTCACGGCTCTGACGGGACAATACAATTAACACGGCACTCCAGCAGTATCCTAGAGCTTGTCATAACGCTGTAGTGTCAGTCATAAAGAGTGAAAACGGTAAAACAGAAAACTGGGAGGTATATATAACTAGACACAAGAACAACACAGCACTGGACGTCGCTGCTACCAAGCACTTGTCTCAACCTTCTCCACACATTTAACAAACTATTAAGTCTACTCTCGTGAACATCCTTCTCGAAAACTCAGTCAGTATATAACATTTCGGTATATTATTTTCCGTGTTTATTACTAGTTTTCAATTGTTTTTCTTAGATATGGACCAATTACTGCAAAAATTTAAGCTGAAGGTTTTATTTAGGCGCTAATGATCCGAACATAATCTCCAGTAAAAATATATATAGTAATTAAACTTATTTTCAACTCAAATAATACTTGCAGGTCTTAGAAATATTCCGCAACTTTATTAGGGCTAAAATATATCCGTTCTTTTATTCTAAAATGCCAAATGTATGTTAGGGAAATGAAGCCTCTGTACATTGCAGGTAACAGGACACTCCGCGTTATTTAAACCATTGTTTGACAATAAGCAAGAAAGCAAGCAAAGTGAGTAAGTAGGTAAGTAAGTAAGTAGCAGGCAAGCGCAGTAAGTAAGCTTATTCAGGCACAATTACTTAATCTTTAAATGAATACAGGTGCCTTACAAAATATGTGTAAATGACCTCGATTAACCCCCCATTAAAGGTCACCTAACGTGACTTATTTCCAGTGGGGTCCTTGACTGTCAAATTTATTTCCCTGAAGCCATTGTACGTCTCGGTAATCTTTTTTTTTTTTTTTACCGCCGCCCAAGGCGGTAATTAATATATCAAACAAGTGGAGGAATTTTGATCCAATGAAATTAGAGTTACCCTCCACTTTCTTGAGTCAAACCTGACATTAACCATTGCCCCCAGAACTGCATGGTCCCTGCGGGTTTAGCTTTCTTACATGGATATATGTCAAAAAATATCATCTTAAAAATATATAACAAAACCACAGTGGTTCAACAATTAGCAAATAATAATAATATCTTTATTTACTACAAGAACATGTACAAGGTATACAGTCCTAGTTGACATCAATGACATACTACTATATAGGATCGACACCATGCCTCGTTCTTCTAGGGCAGGGTAGGGTAGGTGCCTGAGCCAGAGCTTGCAGCTGACAAGACTGTCATTCATATTAGCCCCTGTGAAAATTTGTCTGGACTGCCTCCAAGTGAGTCGCCTACCCTGGCAAGCTCTGTTGACACCGAGCTCTGAGGTTGGTACCTCAGCCTCACAAGTAGCTTATAGGACAGATTTTCATAAATGATTGATGTTGCAAGAAATCTCGCCTGTATGCACGTTTAAAGGACTAACTTACTTGGTGATGTAGAAGCTATTCTGGTCTTCAACCTCCCTAAGCTTAGCCCCTTTGGACTTCCCCTCAGAAACCACGTGCAACCGGGAGCCTTAATTCCTGCAATATTCAATCATTATTAGTGACCTGCCTGCACCTCAGAAATTCCTATTTCCAAGGGGGGGGGGTGAAACCCTTAGAATACTACGCAAAAAGTGACACTAGCTTCTAGGCTGGCAAGAGACACTGGTACGTACTGGGCATGCACTGCCAGCTGCACAAAGGCCTACAGCTCAACTCACTCGCAACATTCCCCAGACACTGGCCAGAATCCTAAGAAAAAGTGGAGGTCTTGTCTTATTGTATGGGCCTGACGGAGAAGGTCATCTACGGTACATGGAGGTGCCTCCACCAGATTTCCCCAGGTCTCATATGTGAAGACACGTGGGGGACGCCGCCTGCTGATCATGGCACATGTTGTTCAGATGGTGTCTGGTCATAGAAGAAAGCTCTGGCGTCTTCGAGACCCGTGCCTTGTCATTCAAACTTGGGCTGCCAGTTCTCCCTAGCTAACATAACCTAGTGTTTGCCTACATTTGGCCTATTACTACCTATGTTAAGGTCTTAGGTCTGGAGTTTACCTGGAGTTCACCTGGAGAGAGTTCCGGGGGCCAACGCTCCCGCGGCCCGGTCTGTGACCAGGCCTCCTGGTGGATCAGAGCCTGATCAACCAGGCTGTTACTGCTGGCTGCACGCAAACCAACGTACGAGCCACAGCTCGGCTGGTCAGGAACCGACTTTAGGTGCTTGTCCAGTGCCAGCTTGAAGACTGCCTCTTAACGTGCTAGTGACACCCCTGCTTTTCATTGGGGGGATGTTGCATCGTCTGCCAAGTCTTTTGCTCTCGTAGTGAGTGATTTTCGTGTGCAAGTTTGGTACTAGTCCCTCTAGGATTTTCCAGATGTATTTAATCAGAAATTCTGGGAACAAAAAAGATATCACGAAATAGCGAAATAAAATTAGCAAAATCAGATGAACCCCAACTCCCACCAACAGAAACAGCAAACAGACTCAATGATTTCTTCTCCACTATAGGACAAAACCTTGCCAATAAACTCCCAAGCTCAGATACCCCACCAAATGACTACCTCACCGGCAACTACCCGAACACACTGTTCCTAGCTCCGACTAACCCATACGAAGTCTCCCTTATTATCAACGCACTAAAAAACAAGGCAGGAGATTTAAATGCCTTACCACCCTTTATATACAAAAAACTGTCACAAGTGCTATCACCAATCATTGCAACACTCTTTAACAAATCCATAGAATCCTCCACCTTCCCTACAGTACTCAAAATAGCAAGGGTCACCCCGATCCACAAAGGAGGAGACCAAACAGAGTTGAATAACTATAGGCCAATATCCAACTTACACCCTCTCTCAAAAATCTTCGAAAATTAATTCATAAACGAATCTACTCCTACCTTATCTCCCAAAACATACTCAACCCCTGCCAATTTGGATTCAGGCCTAATAAAAATAATAATGATGCTATTATACACATGCTAGAACATATATACACTGCAATAGAGAAAAAAGAAGTCCCACTGGGGATCTTCATTGACTTACGTAAAGCTTTTGATACAGTTGACCATGACTTGCTCCACGTAAAAATTGTCACACTATGGTATAAGAGGGCACTCCCTCAACTACCTCAAGTCATACCTCAGCAACAGAAGCCAATATGTGTACGCAAATGGGGCAAACTCTTCTGCGCAACCAATTACAGTTGGTGTCCCACAGGGAAGTGTCCTTGGCCCTCTTCTCTTCTCCTATACATAAATGACCTTCCAAATGCTTCGCAATTACTCAAACCCACACTATTTGCAGATGACACTACATACGTCTTCTCTCACCCGAGCCCAGTCACGCTAGCCAATACTGTAAATACCGAATTACAGAAAATATCTACCTGGATGGGACTAACAAACTTACACTAAACATTGACAAAACCTACTTCATTCAGTTTGGTAACAGAGCTACAGATGTCCCTCTTAACATAATGATAAACGGATCACCTATCACAAAGCTAACAGAGGGAAAATTCTTAGGAATCCACCTTGATAATAGACTCAAATTTCATACACATATACAACAAATTTCTAAGAAAATTTCCAAGACTGTAGGCATACTATCGAAGATACGGTACTATGTTCCACAGTCAGCCCTCCTGGCCCTATATCACTCTCTTATTTACCCCTATCTCACCTATGGAATTTGTGCATGGGGCTCAACAACAATTAACCATCTCAGACCACTAATTACCCAACAAAAGGCTGCAGTTAGAATGATAACAAATTCTCACTACAGGCAGCACACTCCACCAATATTCAATACACTAAACCTACTCACCATACAAAACATCCATACTTATTACTGCACCTATTACATACATAGAACACTTAACTCTGATATTAACCCTCCCCTCAAACATCTCCTTGCCAACCTCAACAGAACACATGACCATAACACAAGGCACAGATCACTCTTTGATGTTCCTCGTGTCCCATCTCACACTATGCAAAAACTCAATGCACATAAAAGGCCCTAAAATCTGGAATTCATTACCTGTAAATATAAAAGAAACACTACCTGTTTATAAATTCAAGTCTCTTCTCAAAGATCACTTACTCACCCAAAACCAAAAAATACTGAATAACTGAACCTTATAAATTGTATATCTTAAATGTTTCTCACAATTATATCACATAAATGTTAAACCTAAAACCCAATCTAACTTTATTATTTTTTAAATACACTACCTAACAGAATACTCCATACGACTGAATGTACAACAATGCATGCAACCATATGACCTGTCTTTGTAATACTCATTTGTGCTTTATAGTTATCTGTTTACAATAATGTATTATCACTGATTTCATCATTGCTTAGTTAATTTTAAGCCAGCCCGAAATGCTATGCATAGTATAAGTGGCTTTGGCATGCTGCTCTTATCTGTATTTTTTTGTACCTCTGTATGTATGCTCAAATTGTAAATAAATAAATAAATAAATAAATAAATAAATCTCTCCCGCCTGCGTTCCAGGGAATACAGGTTTAGGAACCTCAAGCGCTCCCAGTAATTGAGGTGTTTTATCTCCGTTATGCGCGCCGTGAAGGTTCTCTGTACATTTTCTAGGTCAGCAATTTCACCTGCCTTGAAAGGTGCTGTTAGTGTGCAGCAATATTCCAGCCTAGATAGAACAAGTGACCTGAAAAGTGTCATCATGGGATTGGCCTCCCTAGTTTTGAAGGTTCTCATTATCCATCCTGTCATTTTTCTAGCAGATGCGATTGATACAATGTTATGGTCCTTGAAGGTGAGATCCTCTGACATGATCACTCCCAGGTCTTTGACGTTGGTGTTTCGCTCTATTTTGTGGCCAGAATTTGTTTTGTGCTCTGATGAAGATTTAATTTCCTCATGTTTACCATATCTGAGTAATTGAAATTTCTCATCGTTGAACTTAATATTGTTTTCTGCAGCCCACTGAAAGATTTGCTTGATGTCCGCCTGGAGCCTTGCAGTGTCTGCATTGGAAGACACTGTCATGCAGATTCGGGTGTCATCTGCAAAGGAAGACACGGTGCTGTGGCTGACATCCTTGTCTATGTCGGATATGAGGATGAGGAACAAGATGGGAGCGAGTACTGTGCCTTGTAGAACAGAGCTTTTCACCGTAGCTGCCTCGGACTTTACTCTGTTGATGACTACTCTCTGTGTTCTGTTAGTGAGGAAATTATAGATCCATCGACCGACTTTTCCTGTTATTCCTTTAGCACGCATT